ACGGAGCTGGTGGCACGGTTGTCACAGTCACCGTGGCTTAAGGGAACGTTCGGGTAACTCGGGAGCCAGGGTTTGTCACGTTTCGGTCGGATCTCAGGGAGACGAGCGGTGGACGTGTGTCTTGGCAGACAACCCAGTCTGTCTGTCTGTCCCTGTGTGTGCGTGGTCCTCAGGGTCCTCTGGTCAGGCCCCGGCCCTCCAGACGGCTGGCCTGCAGGGTGGCGAGGGCAGACCGCAGGTCCCTGCAGCTGCGAGCTGGCGCCTCCCCCTGAGGGCCCGCAGCCCTGTGACGGGGGCCTAGAAACCTCCTCTGAGTTCTAACGTTTCCATAGAACTGGCCAAGTTCCTAGGGGGAGTGTTAGACGTGATGTCCTTCCCAGCTTTACGGTTCCAGTTCCTCAGGAAGGGGAGGGAGGGAGGTTTAAATGCGGCCTGAAATGTCCTGACATGTTCACATCGACGCCACGGGCTCCACGATGAACTCGCCAACCGGTGGGGTGGGGGAGCCGGTGGCGGCTTCCCCACCCGCCCCCGTGATGCTCGTTTTGTCCAGTCTATCCGTCACCGAATTTCTCCTTTATCTGGCAGTAGTTAGAAAGCAAGTGAACCCAGCCCGCAGTCTGCCGTCCCCACCCCGCAAGGTTCCTCTCCAGCAGAGGTTCCCAGGGCGCGGTGGATGGGACTGCCCCCCGCCCTGCTCCCCGGGGCCCAGGGAGCCACCGCGCTGGCTGGGGGAGGACGGGGGGCAGGGCAGCGGGCACGCGGGCCGCTGGCCTTCCATCCCGGGAGGAGCCGTGCCAGCCCGCCACCCCCCCGGCCCCCCCGGCCCCCTGGCCTCCCGGTCCCGGACGAGGCCCTTCGCCTGGCCGCTGCTGCTCGCGTGGCGTGACTTTATTGCGGGAAAATGGAAGTCCGTGTAGAAGTAACAGGTGCCCATTACTCCCCAAGATTCAGGTGTGTGGCCACCACCGCCGCTCCGCGGGTCACACGCCAGCAGTTTGCCGAGTGCTTCCTGTGAAGGGGCTGCATGCTACATCACCGTAGGGTGGTCCTCTCTCATTTCTGGGTTGGAAGGTGCCAGGAGTTTCCAGTGTTTTCTGGAAATCCACCAGAGGGAGGGGGAGGCGCTGGACAGTCTGAAAACTGCCCCACAGGACAGGATGGGGGCAGTGCTGCTCTTTGAAGGTCTCCTTGCGTGCAGGTCACGCGAGGCTGCCTTTTCCTAACACATGGCTGGAGGCTGATCACCTGGGCTCCGCGGGGGCTGAAGTTGCGCCGTTTTAATTTCTCCCTTACATGCGGTATTTAACGAACTCGATTTTACTCGTAAACAGAAGTGGTTGGCGCTTAACTGGAAGGAGGCGTGAAGTGGCGCCGCCCCTGCACAAGGCACCCCTGCAGGAGTGAGCGCTGAGGAATCCGGTCAGATTCTGTCCTGGCCGTGAGGGCCGAGCACGTGGCCGGAACCTGGGGCTCCAGCCCTGGGCGGCGTGGCCCACCCACCTTTAAGCCACTGCCCTTGGGTTTGTTTTGTCCCCTAAGAGCCACGTTAGGTGTGCGTTAGGGTCTGGAGGCTTCCTTCTCTGGTTAGTGTCCCAGCAAAATTGATGGCACAGGTGCTGCTTTCCCAAGGCTGCTGTGACAGGTACCATGAACTGGGTGGGTCCTGACAGCAGAGGCTGATTCTCTCACAGTCCTGAGGCCCAAAGTCTGGAGCCTGCCTATCGGGGGGCCCGGGTCCCTCTGGAGGCACTGGGGGAGGCCCCTTCCAGCCCCCGTGGCGCCCGTCCCAGAGGCGCCCGGCTCTGCCTCTGTTGGCACATGGCCGTCTGCGTCTTCTCGGCGCCCTTCTCCCCGTGTGTCTGTTTTCTCTCCTTGGTGGGACACCAGTCATTTTGGCTTAAGGCCATGGCAATGACCTCATCTTAGCCCAGTGACATCCACAAAGACCCAGCTTCAAACAGCGTCACGTTCACAGGTACTCGGGTCAGGACTTGAACGCATCTCGTGGGGGCACGACTCAGCCCGTCACGGGCGCTGGCCGGTCCCCACCTCCAGCCTGGGTGGGGTACCTGCCCTCCCAGAAGCTGGCCTGAGTGTGGCCGCAGGTCCTCAGCTAAACCCCACCCTGACGTTAACCAGGGAGGGGAGTCGCGCAGGCTCCCCAGAGGCTGCCGTGGGTCCCAGCAGAGCTTCTCCTGTTCTAGAAAAGCCAGGGCAGCTCCCACCGTTCCCAGGGGAACACCACTCGGTCCAGGACAGCAAGTGTCTTGCTTTTTAGCTGAAACTATATCACAGGGGAACAAGGCTCGGCTGATAAAGGGAGACCTTAGCCCAGGTCACGCTGGAGCTCCCGCTGTGGCCCGCGAAGCCTCCATCCTCCGCAGGCCTGGCCGGTCAGGGAAGTGGACAGCAGGTCACGGGCAGCCCAGGCACCGGCCACCACCCCGAGATGCCCCCAGGGTCTCCGCATACAGCATGCTTGGCTCTCGGGTTATAGCCGCCCGGTGGCGGAAGTAGCAGCGCGTCGTCCTGGGGTCCCCGGGCAGTGGGTTCCTTTCTCTTCTTTGGGTCCTACCAGCACCGCTGTGACCTCCAGAGCCCCAGGGCAGTCCCCACGCTGCTCCCTTGGCTCCCTTGTCTCCACCTGAGTCAATCCTTTGAAACCTCAGATCCCATCTGGCCTCGCCCCAGGGGGCCCGACGTGACCCCGCACCCCCCAACCCTGGGCTTTCTCAGCCTCCTGTGCTGACCCAGCCTTCACATGGCCACACGTGACCGTCTCCACCGCTTCCCGGAAGCTCGTTGATAAACGCATTTGAACCCTCTCCAAAGTGGTTTGAAGTCTGAAGTCCGCAGGAGGGGACCCGGCTGCCTACACTCCTGGTGGGGACGGCGACCTGGGGCGGCCGCTCTGAAGACAGTCTGGCCATTCCTCAGAAGGTCAGCCTTGAGTCTCCACCTGACCCAGCCAGGCCACGCCCAGGAGTGTGTCCAAGGGAGGTGGAAACACACGTGCACACAAAACTCCTACGTGAAGGTCCACAGCAGCATTCCACTTAACAGCCCAAACGTGGAACAGCCCAGGTGTCCATCACCAGAGAAGCGGATCAGCGAGATGTCTGTCCACGTGGTGGGCTTCCTTCAGCCGTGGAAGGAGCGGGGCTCTGGCACGCGCTGGCACGTGGGTGTATCTTGAACACGTCAAGCGGGCGAAGCCAGACCCAGAGGCCACGCATCGTGTGACTGCACTGACCCGACGCGTCCAGAGGCACGAGTCCCCGGCCTCGGGGCGGGCTAGTGGTCACCGGGAGCGGTGGGGAGCGGGGCTCCTGCGTACGGCACGGGGGCTTTGCCCAGGCTGCGAGGGCGCCGTGCCGGGAAATGCAGACCGTGGGCGCCGAGCGCCACTGCAGCGCACGCTCCAGACGGGTGAGTTGTGCGCAGCGGGCGGCAGCGCAGCCTCGGGAGCTACTGGACGCCCACCCTGACCTTCCAGGTCTTCGGACGTGGGCGCCGTTTACCGGGCATCAGCCACGCGACAGTCACGTGCCTGTGTATCATCACCTTGGTTTCAGAAGAGGAACCCGAGGCCCTGGGAGGCTTGCTCACGTGGTCACGGGGAGGAGCCAAAGCCGCTTCATCTGGCATGCGCGGGGGAGGGGCGCCCAGCGTGCTCTGTGCCATGCACCGGGGTCGGGTCACTCCCGCGGCTCCACCCCGCAGGCTCTGACCCGTCCCCCTCCCACGTGGCTTGCCCTCCCCTCCCTGGTTCTCCCTGCTCCTCGTCCCATCCGTCCATGACCTCGAGTGACCTTGACTCTCCAGGCCTCGGCCACCTGCTCCCCGGGTCACGCACACATGGGCTCTGGCTCCCCCGAGAGCCTCCGGTCCGCCCTCGGCGTCCCCCCTTGCTCTCTCCTCCTCTCGTCACCATCACCCGCTGGGCCTGAGCAGTTCAGTCTCCTCCCCTCCCCTCTCTGCCCCCGTCCCGCCCCCTCCCCGCGTTTTCATCCTCTCCTGGGGCACCGCTACATCTCCCTACCGCTGCCCGCCCTCCCCGTGCGCTCAGGCTGCGGGTGGCTGCGCTGCAGCCCCGCCGGGACCTCAGCCCCGCCCAGACGCCGCATCCGCCGGCCTGTCCACTCGGAGCCCAGTGTCCACCTGTCCAGCCTGGTCTCCCCTCTCACCACGTCCAGTCGGGCTACCAGTCACTGACTCTAATTAAAAGGACAACGGAAAGCACTCGACCGGCCCCGACCCCAGTCCCCCCTTTAATTTTCTCCTACCTTATCGCGTATCCCCAAGCTTACTCGTGCCTGCTTCTCACCTGTTTCAGCACAGCCAGGGTGATGCTGTTAAGATATAATTCACCTTCCCTCTGCACAGAATCCTGTCCTAACGCCCGACTTCCCTCGGCGTTAAGGCCAAAGCCCCCCCACGCCACCCACACACGTGCTCGTGCTTTGGCCTCCGTCGTCTCTCCTCTGCCTGCCTTCCCTCGAGCCACGCCGGGTCCTTCCGGTTCTCAGATTCACCAGGCAGGCCTGCCTCACCCCAGGGCCTGGGCCCTTACTGCTGCTTCAGCCTCGCTGGACCCGGTTCTGAGGACGAGCCTGGCCGGCCGATGGGGTGGGCGTCGCTAAGGAAAGGGGCTGGGGCGCGGGGTCTGGAGGCTGCAGGCCTCCACCCCTGTCCGGGCCTTCTGTGTGATGCGGCGGGGCCTGTGTGACATCACAGCCGGCGGGGCGGGCCTTCCGCTGGCCAGGAGCAGTGGGAGGGAGGTGGCAGTCAGTCTCTTGTTTGATCCGAGCGCTGCTGTCCACGTGGAGCGTGACCGTGAGCTGTGTGGCTGGAGCTCAGCCGGGGACGTGCCCGCCGGGCCTCCTCCCTTCCTGGCACAAACTGCGCCAGGCCCGGCCTCCAGGTCCCCTGTGCTGAGCTGACCTGCTCTCTCCCCCAGGTTCCCTTGACCCCCTGGCTGTCCTTCAGCTGCTGCGATGAGATACGCTCCAGAATTCAAGAAGTCCGCCTCGCACCTCCCGAAGACATTTGCCGGTAACAGGCTGGGCCGCGCGGGGGTCCGGGGAGGTTGTGGTTTCCGAGCCACGCAGCCCGGCGCAGGGGCGGCGGGAAGCGGGGAGGGCCAGCCCGGAGCGGGGGGGAGGGCCGTGTGCGTCCCCGTGGGAACATCTGTGTGGAGGGGACGGGGCGGGGCCTCAGGGCCCGGGGCCTTGCAGCCCTTCAGGGATCGTCTGCGGGTCCAGTTCTTCCTGGCAGTCCCGCAGCTTCGCACCCACACTGCCCCACCGCTGCCCTCTCTCTCCGACAAGTCACCCGTCCAGGGACCCCTCGGAGGGCCGCGCCCCCGAGTGACCCAGGGATCGGGGGCCTCGGACACCAGGCCAGGCAGAGGGCAGCAGGGTGGAGCCGCTCCCTGGAGAGGGCAGCGTGGTCATGGGGCCGAGGTGGGGTCACACAGAGGTTCCCAGGAAGGAGGGCCCAGCTGGGAGTGGGCGCCACCGCGCAGACGTGGCCCAGGGAGCCTCCCCAGGCACTCGCTTCACGGAAGAAACGCTCCGCGGACACCTGACGTAAAGAAAAATGCGTAAAAGCACACGTGGTTTCCCAGCGATGTCCCGAGGGAATTTCCCCCAGTGGGAGGCTCTCTCCCGGGGACCCGGGCACCCTGACACCCTCTGGTGCCCTGACCCTACGCCCTGGTCTGTCTGGGGAGCCCTGATGCAGCCATGCGGGACACGTGGCCCTCTCACATCTGAGACCCGCATCACGTGCTGAGCTCAGTTCCAAACCCACGTGTCTATTGTCTGGGCACAAGCATCCAGGCCTCCTGAACTGCAGAAGCCAAACCAGGGGAAGGAGGTGGGGTGGGGACCCACGGGGCCGTCGCAGCCGGGCCAGGCCATGCAGGGGCTCTGAGGGGCCGTCCAGGCGCCGGGGGTCCCTTCCATCTGGAAGCTCGGGTCTGGGAAGCGCTGTGGATTTGGGAACCCAAGGGGACTCCAACGAGGGTATAATCGGTGTGGGATGCCCCGCAGCCGGCTACTGTGCTGCTTCTCGAGCCCCCCTTTTCCTTATGAGCCACTCTGCAGAAATAACCCAAATGGTCTGTGTGGTGCTTTACAGTTTGTAGGGCGCTTTCGCAGAAACGATTTCAATTTTCACGGCCCCTCTGTGAGGGAATCAACGTTGGCTTTAGACCGACAGGCAGAGCGGACAGAGGTGCATGGTAGATCAACAGCCGAGAGCACGGGCCGCACGGGCAGGTCCCCAGGTCAAACCGTTCCTCCCCACACTGGCTTGACCTTCACTCCCTCACCTCTAACACGGGCAGGTGTGAGGAGGGTCTCTGCAGAGGGGCTGCTGAAACGATCAAAGGAGACAGAACTTGGAGAAATCCCCGAGGCGGGCTCCTTGCAGCCCTGACACACTTGAAGCAAAACCCAGCACAGCTCACGTCCCCTCAAAGTCTGCAGGGACCGAGCCCTCGCCCGAGACCTCGGCGACCACAGTGACCACGGCCCGGGAGCCAGCACAGCCCCGCCCGCCCCGGGTCAGCGGGCCAGCTCTGGCTCCCAGGCTCCAGCTGCAGGGAGTCCCCGACTCTGTCCAGCCTCCCGTCTGCAGCGGTGGCCTCTGCAGCACAGGCCCCACGACGGGGAGGCCAAGGACATGGAGTGGGGCACACCTGGAGTCGGGGTGTCCTGGGCCACGGAGGAAAGGGTATGGAGGGCGGCGGGTTTCCCTGGAATCCCTTAGTCTGAGAGACCAAACTCCCCCCGCCAACCCGAGGAAGACGGCATTCCTCGGAGACTCAGGAAAGGGCGGGCCCTGCTCTACGCCCCACCCCGGGAGACCGTGTTTACTGCTGATGGGCACCTGCTCAGAGCTGAGACCCTGCGGTCCTTCGCCCTCCACTGCAAGACACGTGGCTTCCTGGCACTAAACTTTCTGTCCTTTCGATTCGACTTTTAAATTCTGAAATAATCCTCACGTTGGTCATTTTAACTCAGTCTGCGCTTAAATGTGGATTAAGAACATGTTACTGCCCGAACTCCCAGACACCCATTGTATGAGGTCTGTGTTTCCCAATTGCTTTGTGGAGCGCTGAGCCCGGCTCTCCGGGATGCGTTATCTCCTTAATCCCTGGGGGACCCCGCATTATTCTGTGTGTGTCATCAACTTGACATTGTCGTGTTCAGAAATCTAATTCATTCCAGATCTGAGCTTCAAAGTGAGATGTGTATGATACATAATGAAAACTGTAACAAACCCCACCACGCAAACCTGCGAGCTCCCCTCCCTGCCCCGCGCTCCTTCGAGTCAGAGGGCTATCAGGGTAACGTCCGTGTGTGTCTGCTTTGCAGTGTGCGACATCCCTCTGTACGACATATGTGACTACAGCGTCACCAGAGATCAGTGCAAGGAACTCGGGTGCTGCTTTTATAAAGGCATCTGCTATGAGAAGGCCGTTCCCAGTAAGTACCCGGCCAGGCCCGCCCTGGCGGACAAAGCCACGCGCGCCAGGAATGGGTCTCCGTTGCTGTTCGGGCCTCTTTCTTTGTTCCCTGGTCACATCGCCCTGCTCGGTGCAGCCGCAGGAGAGACGGCTCTGAGGGCCTGGGCCTGGGACTTCAGCCACCGGAGAGAGTCCACTCCCGGGTGCTGTTGAAGAGGCTTATTTGAGATCCCTCCATCCTGGGGGGGGCGAGGGGGTGTAGAAGCCTGCGTTGGAGGAGGCGGCTCTGCAAAAGCAGATGGCTCGGGGCGGGGCCCTCGCGGCTGTGTGCGAGGGCAGGCCTGACCCAGGCAGGAGCTGGAGCCCTGAGGACCCAGGACAGACCTCCGACTGGGGTCAGGATGAAACTTAGACCTGACACTGAGCTCTGCGGCCGGTCCCTGAAGCCCAGGATGCGCCTGGGGAGGTGGAACTAGTAGGGGGGCCTGGGATGGGGAGGGGGCCTGAGCTTGGGGGGAGGCCGGACCCCGCAGTCAGACAGCAAAGGAGGCACCTGGCACTCAGAGTGCAGCGGGAGGGGCGAGCGGGCAGGAGGAGGTGAGCTGGGTCTCCTGGCCCAGAAGGGATGACCTAACGATGCTTTTTCTGGATACTTCCCCACACTTCTGCCTCTGGAATTGTCTAAATTAGTATTTCCAAACACTCAAATTCTACTTGACGGTTGATGCTTGTCCTTGCCCTGTATGCGACCCTTTTAGAAACAGGGGTGAGGGCTCTAGAACTTTGGGGAAGGGGTAAACACGTCCCTGGAACAGGACAGCCTGCAGGGGACCTCACCAGGGAGGAGGAGCGTGTCCCCAGATACAGAAAGCTGGCCGTGGACCCTCAGCTCCGATGCTCTGGGAAATGTGTCCTGTACCCTCCTCCACCCTCAACCCCTGGGGGTCAAGGGCGCAGCTGTGTCCTATGACTTTCCGGGATTTCTTCTTCCCTTGTTTCTCCTCTGTGGTCCCAGCTGGGCTCAGCTGCCCACCCCCAAGGCCTGCCTTCTCCTTCCTGGACACGGGAAGTCAGAAACATTACCCTCGGGGCAGCCCCATCCCACAGACTCAAAACCTTCCGCCAGCTCCTTCAAGAAGTGATATTCTGAGCAAAACAAGAAGCTAAAGCATCGGCAAGATCTGGGTTCAGCCAAAGGGAGAGCATTGTCTTCCTTTATGTGAAGATGTGGTGTGTAGGGCCGAAGCAGAGGCAGTTTAGCTCAAAACGAGGCCGGTAAGAGGCCACAACGAACACTCCTCATAGCTGGGAGGATTTTCTGGTGACAATTTCTCCTTCAGATCTTGAGTTAGAAGACTTGGGACCAGATCTCCTTACTCATCCCACCTGCCACCTCCAGGGACCCCAGCACCCCTAGGATCCCACACCCCTTCCCCTGTACCTGAAGATAGAAGCAATTGGAAGTTACCTCCTTTGGTCGTTATTTTTACTGAGATGAAATTCTCATGCCGTAAAATTCACCCTTTTGAAGAGTATGATTCAGTGACTTTTAGTATATTCACAAAGTTATACACTATAAATTCCAGAACATTTTCATTATCCCCAAAAGAAACCCGCACCCATTAAACCGTCACCCTATTCCCCCCCGCCCTCCACTCCCTGGTAACCACCAATCTGTGTCTGTGGATCTACCGTTCTGGACATTTTCATATAAATGGAGTCATACCATATGGGGTGGCCTTTTGTGTCTGGCTTCTTTCACTTACGTAATGTTTTTAAGGTTCATCTATGATGTACCATGTGTCAGTACTTCATTCCTTTTCATGGCTGAATAATATTCCCTTGCCTGGATGGACCACATTTTGTTTATCATTTGTCTGTTGATGGGCATTTGGGTTGTTTCCACTTTTTAGCTATTATGAGTGAAGCTACTATGGACAAATGCACACACAGAGTTTGCATGAACATGTTCTCAATTCTGGACCATATATTAACTCTATCTTAAAATTTTGAGGAAGTGTCAAACTAGTTTCCAAGTGGCTGCACCATTTTACAGTCTAAACCAGCAGCAAATGAGGGTTCCAGTTTCTCCATATTCTCACCAACGCTTTTCATCCGTCGTTCTGATTATACCCATTGTAATGGGTGTGAAGTTATATTTCATTGTCATTTTGATCTGTATTTCCCTAATGAGTAATGACGAGCTTATTTTCCTGTGCTTATCGACTGTTTGTGTATCTTCTCTGGAGAAAAGTCTATTAAAATCCTTTGCTCAGTTTTTAACTGGGTTAATTATCTTTTTATCGTGGAGTTGTAAGGGCTATTCATATATTCTCGTAGACCCTTTTCAGATATATGATTTCAAATACATTCTCCCGAATCTGTTGACTGTCTCTTCACTTTCTTGATAGCGTCCTTTGAAGCACAAAAACTTTCAATTTTGATGATGTCCAGTTTATCTATTTGTTCTTTGGTTGCTTGTGCTTTGGGGGGTTTTATCTAGGAGACCATTGTCTAATTCAAGGTCACAAAGATTTACATTTAGGATATCTTCCAAGGGTTGTGTAGTTTTATCTTCTACATTTCCGTCTTTGATCCACTTTGTGTTCATTTTTGTACGTGGTGTGAAGCAGGGGTACAACTTCATTCTTCTGCGTGCAGATGTCCAGTTTTCCCAGAACCATTTGTTGATAAGAGTGCTCCACTGAATTGTCTCCACAGCCTTGTTGAAATCAATTGCTCCTAAGTGTGAGGGTTTATTTCCAGACTCTCAATTCCATCCCATTGATCTATGTGTCTATCTTTAATCAGTACCACAAGGCTTTGATCACTGTAGCCTTGTAATAAGTATTGAAATATGAGTCCTCCAATTTTGTTGTTCATTTTCAAGATTGTTTAAGTTATTATGGGTCCTTTGAATTTCCATATGAATTCTAGGATCCCTTGTCAATTTCTGCAAAAAGCCATCTGGCATTTTGATAGGGATTGTGTTCAATCTGTAGATAATTTGGGGGAAGGTGTAAAGGGGTATTGCTATTTTAGTAATATTAAGTTTTCTCGTCTTCTGAATAGTGGATGTTTTCCACTTTACATTGTTTTAAATTTCTTTCAATCATCTATTGTAGTTTTTAGTATGCTAATCTGTTTTTCTTTTATTAAAGTTATTCCTACTTATTTTATTCTAATGTTATTGTAAATTGAATTGTCTTTTCAATTTTATTTTCAGATTGTATATAGAATCCTAGGTATATAGGCAGTAGAATTGAAAGGTTGCTAGTGTATAGAAATAACATAAAATTTTTATGGCGATCTTGTACCCTGCAACCTTCTTGAACTTGTTTATTAATTCTTGTCATTTTCTAGTTTATTTCTTAGCATTTTCTACGTATCAGATCATGTCATCTGCACATAGCGATAGTTCTGCTTCTCCCTCCAACCTAGATGGTTTTATTTCATTTTCCTGCTAGGACTTCAGTACAGTGGTGAATAGAGGCAGTGATACTGGACATCCTTGTCTTCACTCTGATATTTGGGGGAAGCTTTCAGTGTTTCACCATTAAGTACCATGGTAGCTTGGGTTTCATTAGGTATCATATATCAGGTCAAGGAAGTTCCCTTGTCTTCCTAGTTTTTTGAGTATTTTTATCATAAAACAATGTTGGATTTTATCAAATTCTTTGCATCTATGAGCACCTCAGGTGTGGTCTGCTTTTTTTTTTTTTGGTGTTATGAAAAGCACTTTTAATTCTGTATAGAATTTAAAAGACAAAAGCATAAAAATAACTAACTATAAAACTATGTTAATGGATACAACTTATATAAAGATATAATTTGTGACATCAATATAAAGTAGGGGAGGGGAGATGCAAAAGAGGTATTTTTTTTGAATTTTATTTTATTTTATTTTTTATACAGCAGGTTCTTATTAGTTATCTTTTTTTTTTTTTTTTTTTTTTGTGGTATGCGGGCCTCTCACTGTTGTGGCCTCTCCCGTTGCGGAGCAAGGCTCCGGATGCGCAGGCTCAGCGGCCATGGCTCACGGGCCCAGCCGCTCCGCGGCATGTGGGATCTTCCTGGACCGGGGCACAAACCCGCGTCCTCTGCATCGGCAGGCGGACTCTCAACCACTGTGCCACCAGGGAAGCCCCTAGTTTTCTATTTTATACATATTAGTGTATATATGTCAATCCCAATCTCCCAATCCATCCCACCACCACCACCACCACCCCCGCTCAGGGGTGGTCTTTATTACTTATGTAGATTTGAGTTACTACCTAGTACCCTTTTCTTTCATCCTGAAGGACTCCCTTTAGTATTTCTTGTAAGGCAGGTCTGATAGGGCTGAATTCTCTCAGTTTTTGTTTATCTGGGAATATCTTAATTTCTCCTTCATTTTTGAAGGATACGTTTATAAAATTCTGAGTTGACCGTCTGTCAGCGCTTTGAATGTTTCATCCCATTGCCTCTGCCCTCTATGGTTTCTGAGAAATCTGCTGATTATCTTAAGGCTTCTTTATACACAGCAAGTCCTGTCCCTTATGCTGCTTTCAAGATTCTCTTTTGACAGTTTATCGTGTGTCTAGGCGTGGATCTCTTTGATTTTATCCTACTCAGAGTTCAGGAGCTGCTTGGCAATGTAGATTAATGTTTATCAAATTTAGGAAGCTTTTGCCATTTCTTCAAATATTCTTTCTGCCCTCTCCTCTCCCTCTGGGACTCCCGTCCTACATATTCGATACACTCCATGGTGTCCCACAGATCTCTGAGGTTCTATTAATTTGTCTTAATTCGATTTTCTTTCTGTTACTCAGACTGGCTAATCTCAATGGACTTATCTTCAGGTTTACTGATTCTTTCCTTTGCCTGCTCAAATCTACCACTGAGGTCCTCTGGTGAGATTTTCATTTCCATTATTATACTTTCAACTTCAGAATCTCTATTTGGTTCTTTTTTTTAAATTAAATAATTTCTATCTTTTTGTTGATATTCTCCATGTGGTGAGATATCATTCTCATACTC